TATTCTTCCTGGTTCTTTATCAGCTGCATTCTTTCTTCTATTTCTACAAAATAGGATCCCGAAGCCCTATTCGAATCACAAGGCCCCTACATCAACTGAGGCATTAGCCTCCTTAGCAAGCCTTGATGAGGGTTGTTCTGGGGCTTTAGGTACCTTGCTCGAGGGCTTGCGAATGCTATCAAGGCAAGGGACTTAGTAGTCAGAGCTCCAGGGCCTCATGGTTCGATTTCACATATGGGAGTTTCCGAAAATAGGGGACCCTAATCTAGCACCCGAAATAGTCGGTTCCTTACTATGAGGACCCCAAAATATGGTACCCCTAATTTTCGGAAGCTCACATATGGTCTGAGGCGATTTGCTGTCTTCGGTTTGAAAGCAGCATCCTTTCAGTGTGGAGCTGGAGTTTGAGAGCCTTTGCGGCTGTTGAGTGTGCATCTGGGAGGCTAGAGTAAAAACTTGTTTACGGGGCTGTCATGTCATAGTTTTGCTGGCTTGGGGTTTCAGGGCTTAATCCTTTACGGGGCTGCGATGTCACATTTTTACTGGTTCAGGGTTTGACCCTCCCCTAAAACCTAAACCCTTGAATCAGTGTGGAAGGCGAGCCGCTCGCAGACTAGCTCCGGTAGCTCCTCGGCCGCGAGCGCTAGGCTTTGAGGTTTCTTGAGGTTCAGGGATTAGGGTTCGAGGTATAGGTTGCATGGTTGTGGGTATTCGGTTAAGGGGCTGAAGTTTCAGGTTTAGGCGTAGGCTTTGCTTGGAGGAGGCTCTGTGTGCTTCGCAAGGTACAAGAAACAGAATGAAGTGTGGAGGGTATACAAGTTGAGAGCTTTGCGGAGTTGGGGGGTTGGGTGTGGAGGTGATATAGGGAGTTGGACAACTGCTCAGCCTACTCCAATCCAAATCTAATAACTAAAACCCCTGTCAATCCTTCAGGTATGAGGAGAACAGCCAGGCCTTGTAGAACCCCTAAACAAGAGTCAGCATAAGACCTCGTAAGATTACCCTTCTTGATCTCACTGGCCTGTGTTTAGGTTACTTTCGTCGGACACGGAAGAGAGCTTTACACTTCCCTAGAAACCCTGACGTTTTTGACACAACCAAGCCGCAAAAGGCCGCAGAGCACCTCCTGAGACCCCGGAGGTCTCCAGCCCTGCAGCCCTAAACTCGAAACCACAAACCCTAAACCGTAAACAGCCTCAGAAGCCGAAGGGCCAGAGGTCTCTTAGACCTGACCTGGATGCTGGGAAACCCTCCATCGCCTACGCGCCCAGTCCCTGAAACTGAGATAACTGAAAGTTGCAGGAAGCTCAGAATGAGAGTCCACTACGGCAGCATGGAAACATCGAACATGAAGAGTCTAAGGAACCACCTCCCAGAGACTCCAAGATCCCTTAATTAAGGAATATTCCCTAAATCATAAATCATATTAGAGGTCCTACTATACTTTAAGGGTGTATTCCTAAATTAAGGGATATTGCAGTCTCCGGGCTCCCACCCTCTCCCACCCCCCCCGCGAGTGCTGAAGCCGAAAGCCTGGAAGCCTGACCCTAAGACCGAGGCCCATCCTTCGATGGGCACGAGGAGACGCAGAAAGAAAAGGGGCCTAAATGATTACTTATACTAGGGGTTCTTTAAAGGGTTCTAGAAGGGATCTATAATAGGGGTCTATAAATTAGGATCCTATAAATAAGTACCTATACTATTATGGCGTTCCTTATTATAGTTATAGAATAATGGGCCCCAAGACCCTATTCTAACTATTAAGGCCCCTCTGGTGGCTTCGGGTTTACTTGTGGAGGGCTTCTGCCTATTCGGCTCCAGCTACCCGTAAAGGGTTTCAGGGGCTCTGTGGGCTTGGGCTATGGGGTTAAGGGCCTAGAGTATGCTTGGGGGTACTTAGAAAGAATTGTTAATTCTTGGTTATTATGATCCCTAAGAAATAGCTAAAATTAGAATTTTTGCTAGGGCTCTAAGTTCAGTATAGTATGGTTTATTTGTGTTTACATGTAAGCTGTCGGTAGTATGCAGTTGATGCGCAGGTTCTGCCCGTTTCGCTGATGCTTTATTTCTTGAGTATGGGGCTCTTGTTGCGTTTTGATTCCAAAAGCACCCCTCCTCTTAGACTCTTGGCTTCGACGATTCTCACACACGGACCGGGTCGAAGCATCCAGCAAAACGAAACACACGGCCCCTAGAATTTCGAAGTATATGCGGTCGGTGGAGCAAGTTTTGTAGACTTCTTGTGTCCTTTCTTGAGGGTCCAAGCTACGAGATTGAATAGTCGTCTGATGACCCAGAAACGAAAAGGCGTCCCGGGTACAGGTGACCAGGGTTTTTGAGGGGGGCGATATTCTAGGATTCTGGGAATGTAAGAACTATTCATTGCATTCAGTGGAGGTTGAGGGGCGAGTTGCTTAAGATTGAAGAACTTGAAACCACTTAAGCTTGTCCACAGACCCTCAACATCAGAAAATTCTGAAAGCAGATAGAGCCGAGGAAGAGACTGCTTCCAGCCTACCTCACATGGATTCTAAGCCTAGACTGTGCAAGGTAATCAGCTCAGCAGTGCCTCGACAAAGCTTCTTTTTTTGTTGTGGGGGGGGGTATCATCGAGCTTGCGACCTCTTCGAAGATACTGTTAGCATAGGGGCCATAGGGTGGAGATTTCGCCGGGAAGCCTGGTTCAAGACATCTTGACGAAATGGCTCCCGGACTGGAGCTCGAGCTCGGTCGTTGTACTATAGGGGCCTAAATAGTTACCAAGACTATTTTGGGGGTTCCTTATGATAACTAGAGTATAATTAATGAGTCTCTACATTACAGTCTTTGCTTCAGATTTTTAGGAACTGCTGTAGGGTTTGGTTTTGAGCTCTAGGTAGGGATGAGTAGACGCGAGGCCTCTGTAGCTTCGGTAATTCTCGCATTGTTTCGTAGGTCTATGCACCTAGCGAAATCGCTGTGTTCTGCGGGGCGTGGCTGACGGGTGACTGACTAAAGCCCTAAGCCCTAAACTCAGCCGCGAGGATTTGCATCACTCCTTCGTTCTGAGCCCACGAGGACACACAGAGGGGGAGTAGTGGCGGGCCTGGGCCTGGGGATTTAGGGTTTAGGGCTTTAGGGTTTAGGGGTTTAGGGGTTTAGGGTTTAGGGGGATTCTGGAGGCTTATGAAGCTGCAGGGTTCAGTGTTTGGGATTTGGGGACCCTTGTGCAGATCTGTGGGGTTGGGGTGCAGGAATGGCTGTCGCACAAGTAAAGAATCTCGGTATGGATCTCCTTACAAGGCAGCTGGGAGAAAATCTCATTTAAAGGGCAGAGCTGGTATTGAAGATGCGGTAACGAAGCACATTCCACATACCTGGCTGTCGGACATGTATGCCTGTGGTCTACGACCATCTACGACCCACACCGGCAGCTTGTCGTGGTGGAATGGCTATGTGTGAAGCTTACGGCTTTCGGCTCTCAGATGGTGTTTCCGCATCTGGCCGAACTCCACAACTGAAATAATATTGGTCTACAGTCTGGGATGGCGACTTGGAAAACTACCCAGAGTCCTACTCATTGTACTGGAATGGACCTACCCCCAACCCGAAAGCTTCATAGCGTATACAGCCCTAAACCTGGGGCCATCGCCCGAACCAGCAGCAGGACATATCCGGGACTTGCCCAGCGAAGTTGATCCGCCACTGCCCATCTGCCGCCGCTGCCTGATGATAAGGTTTCAGGGTTCCGACTCTTTGGGTAGGTCCGGGTAGGAGTGGGAGGCACTTTCCACTTTCCACCCCGCTACACCACCCACAAAACACACGGCAGCCGATCGAATGAGCAAATTATCTAAGTGAGCGCACGCACAAAGATTCATGAACAAAGGAACAAATATATCGTTATTAGTATTATTATTACTATTATTAAGTTATATTACAGATGCGAGAAGCATGTGCATTCGAGGAGGGGGGATGAGTGCAGTGCAGAGTAGGGAGCTTGTGGCAGTGGGCGGTCGCCGAGGCCCTTTGATGCCAGCCTTCACAGCATCGACGGCGCGGGGCACATTGCTGTCAAGATATGGGTCTTGATAATTAGAGTAGGGTTTTGGGGCCCAATATACTATAATTATAAAAAGGAACGCCCCAAAATAGTATTGGAAATTATTTAGGCCCCTAAAGTAACGTGGGGCAGCTTATCCGGGTGTGCCCTACCACCCTAAAACCCCAAACCCAACATGACTCGCACCATCATTTGCCAGCTTTCCTCAGGTCTATAAAGCCGTGGTCCGGAATACCCTTTCGCCGTGACAAAGAGCAGGTATTTTCTAGGCCGTCAAAAAGCATGCGTTCCAGGTCAACCTCGATGCATGTTGGCTTATGGCATTCTGCTGTCCCCAAGCTACAGATGTTCCTGAAATCATCAGCAGATGCATGTGTCTCTGAGCAGCCACGACTTTCACCCTCCCATAGGGTCCCTTCGTCACAGGGCCTTGGAATGAAGACGCTTCAGAAACCGAAAGCCCCGGACCCGGAACTCTATTAAACGAAGGCAGAGTCCCAAACGATAAACCGTAATCAAGAATCTCAAGACTCCAGATTCAGAAGCCCTCAAGTTTTGGACTGGCCCGTCTCGACATCGCAGCCATCTGGCTCCACAAAGCGAAGCAGAAGCCTCCCCAAGACCTTGCCAAAATCTTCGCAGGCTTATGTCCTTGGTTTCGCCACCTAACTGGCCTTGGTTAGGCTGACTACGAAATCCCTAAACCCTAAACCCTACTTGAGGTTTAGACTCGAGCTCCCCCCATTCTACAGCGGTGTAAACGTCCGATGTACTGCTGCCAGAATCCGAGGCCCGTGGTTTAGGTACACTATAGACTGTCTTCGTATCACTACTGTAGTATGTTGTGCAGTAATTGAGTTGAGTGTGGTATGTCATAGGATATTGATATGGTTGCGCAATATGGTATACTAAGTATGGTATACTTTTCCCTGGCTATCCCATTTCGCATTGAGAGATCATGGCATGTCTGAATTTCCGGGTCTCCCCGGTGGACGGCAAGGGCCTCGGAGCTGTGGCAACCAAGCCGATCGCCCAAGGCCGTCAATTCTGTTGATTTGGCTATACACAGCCCTGACGGTCCGAAGGCTTTCTTGTAGTAGTCATAATCATTAATAATAGAAATAATAACAGTAATAGTATGAGGGTAATAAGAACAGTAGTTGGTGGAAGAATGGTGATAATTGTATTAGTGTGCCGTTTGATGGGCATACCGGCTAGTTAAAAAGACACTCGCGCCTTTCCCGGGGCCTCCCGGTGCATTTTGCAAAAGTTGGGCCTTCGTTGCTGAATTCCGAACCCCAGCCTTCATTTCCCTCTCCCGCCCTGTAGCCACCCCATTCTAACAAGAATCATGCCTGTATGAACGGTGGTCATAATCGTAGTAACATTCAACGGATGATCTCACTATTTGAAACACTGCTTTCGGGACAAGTTCTTGGAACCATTCCGCGACTGATGGAGGTGACTGGGTGCTTGAAGACGACCCTGCTTTGTTGAGGCTGCTGTGCATCTGAGATACCAGCTATTTTGCGAGGCTTTATAGTGGGATTACATAGGGGTATCTGGCATCGGTGATCACAACGTGTGAAGGACAAGGGCTTTGGGTGCCCAAAGCATGATATCCATATTGAGTGCTTCTGGAGTCTGTGTTCGGGGATTTTCGTTCTGCAGCTTCAGCATAGGCCGTTCCTCAAACTCTGAACCTTTGAGCCCTACATGCTACCTAGACGATTAGAGTTTTGAGGGCTTCGGATCGGCATGGGGGTGCCTGAGAAGTAAAGTTCGATCGGGGTTGTAGAAGGCTTGCACGGTCGAGGGGCAAGGTTTGTGACTAGTAGTCATGCCCCCGTATAGTGATGCTGCACTATACCCGAGAACCTCGTTCTGATTGTTTCGGTTGGGGATCTATGAGCCCCCAATCGTACGGACTACAGCAAAGAGGTGTGAACAATTAGCTAAACAGCAACTTGTAGTTTTCATGTGCCTTACCCAGAGGCCCCAGTAGTATTTCCTTTTTGTGATTCCCTTATAGGATTCTATATATGAACCCCAAACTAGGAACTACTTTGGGGCCTTAGTCTAATTATAAGCCCCAGAATGATTGTTAAGACCGCAATCTGAAGGAACTCCATGTTTAAAGCCATGGTTCTTTGCCTGGCCCTTGATAACATATCGAAATCCTCGTAGGTTTTATTGGGGCATTTGATATGTTTGAATCCCCGTTGGTCCGTAGGTTTCACTGAGATGTACGTGGTTTTCCGGGGGCTACTGTAGGGCTTTCGCCACGTGGGCTTGACAAGGCTGTAGGGCTTCCAGGGTTCCAAGCAAGACCACGGCTTTTCCGCGCCCCTCTCAAACTAAGTGCGGTCATGGAGCCCTTAGAGCGCCATGCCAGAAAAAAGCCCTCCGCCAATCCCTCGCATATTCATAATCCCCACATGGAGTGCTTAGACAACCTTCACAAAACGAGGCTTTCTACAGAAGACGTGGCCCACTTCGACGAGCGCTGGCCCGCAGGAGGTCGCCGCTCAGAGGACACGCATGCGGTTTGGGGTTTCGGGCTCCGGGAAGTTCTGTCGGCTGAGTTTCAGGGTTTAGAGTTTTATTGTGGGTCATAGACTGGCTAGACTTGAGTCCGGTGGCTAAAAAAGGCTACTTCGGATAATCAGTTCCCACAGATTGAGACTCATCGGGTAATCCGGTCCGATCACAAAACGAGGGATGCTTTGAGACTTGCTGGGAAAGAGCCAAGCCGCAGCATGAACCGCAATTGTGGCAGTCCAGAGCAGCATGCTCTTCAGTCTTGGATCTTCACCAGGCAGACATGGGAACCGAATCCCTAAACCCTAAACCCTGTTATATCCCTGTCATCCGCTGAACGCCAGACTTTTAGCCCTGGTTCGAGCCGCGGGAGTCCAAACCTTCAACTCCTATAGAAACCCTATGAAACCTTCCGGATGTCGGGTGGCGCTCGATGAATCCTCTATAGTGGCCACTATAAAGGAGCCCTACAGGCATCTATCCCGAAGGTATGCTTCTCAGGAGGTATGTTTATCATGCTACAAGATACCTCAAAACCCTATTCTCATCCCTATATTTTGCTTCTCAGGAGTACCTCCTGGCGCGAGAGGAGCACTTCGAGTCGGTTCTTCAGGCGCAGCTGCAGCAGCTTCCGGCGCCTCGGTGGACCCTAAAGAACCTGTCCGCTTTTTGGGTTCAATGTTGTGATTTCTTTTGAAATAGATAGGTTCTTTAGGGTCTAGGGAATTAGGGGTTTAGGGGGAGCTGAGTGCCTTGTTTTCGCGCGAGAGAGACTGCCCCGCAAGGGCAAGACGAAGCGATATGCAAATACGGGGGCTTTAACCGACGGTTTGTGATGGGAACCGGACTTGGTTGGCATGGAGCTTGGGTGTTTAGTTTATGATGACGATACGCGTGAGGACTTCCATATTAGCTGGCTCTTTCGGCTCAGGGCTTTAGGGCTTTGAGATTTCTCCGACTTCTAGGGATGGATGCTGAGTTTCGGTTTTGGAGATCGAAGATGTGCTGCTCTGAATGGAAGTGCAGGGTGGTTAGATTCTGACGCAATGGATTATAAGGGGATGCTGGTATCCCTGAGGCCCTAATGTCCTATCCGAAACCCTAAACACCCCCAGCCCTAAACCTGAAGCTCCCCAACACTCTCATGCCCTGGAGCCCCAAACAAGGATGACCAGCAGCAGCGGATCCTGGCACTTCATAGCCGCAGAGGCTGCCAAGGCTGCCATGGGGGGTCAAGACATAGGGGTTTTAAGCTTTGGCTTAGGGTTTAGGGGTTAGGGGTTAGAATTTATGTGCGTAGTCCAGGTGTAAGAAGGGGCTAGAGTTTTGGGGCCCTTTTGGTTGGAGGCTTTTCTTTCCAGTGTTGGGTTTGTGTTGTAGCATATATGCTACATGTGAATGTGATGTTGTCGCTCGGAGCTTGACTTGCTTGTAATGCTGCTGTGATGATCAACTGCACACGCTTCCCTTCACCGTACGGCTGCAGCTGTGCGATTTCAACGATGACAACGACAGCTGGTGATGCCTTGATCCGCTTTCTGGCCGCTTTCTGGTGAAATCTGCTAATGTGTTTTGCCGTATTGCTGTCGTTGTCGTCGTCGGGACCGACGTGCTTATCGTTGACAGGCCTGGCCGACATCTTCTTCACCAATGCACTGCCCACAGAGGAGGAAGACTGGGTCCTGTCAAGCGGCCATGATTATGGGCATGGTGCGGGAAGTGAAGGGTAATGTGCACCTTCAAGCTAAGCTCAGCTTGAGGCATTTTAAGCTGTAAGCGTGCAGTACCTTGCATTGAAGCAGGGTATCAAAGTAGGTAAAGGGTTTCTTCCAAAATCGACCCATCTAGCAAGAACCCGACCATACGAATGGCTAGAGGGAGCTGACTGTAAGAGTGGCAGGGTCCTTGCACACAGAGCTGGTCTAGTTTCGACGGGCTCTGCAGTTTGCACAGAGCAGCAGATTCAGCTTAAGCGTAAGGCTTGATGTGAGGTTCAGAGGTCCCGCTTTCTTCTGGGGCTACAACCGGGAACTGTAAACCCCACACCCCGGAGTGTAGTGTTGCTTGACGAAGGTGCGGAACAGCAAGCCGGTTCAACAGCAGCTGCCAGCAAAATGCGGTCTACCAGTGGTCTGCTGCTGATCCGCATCCTTGAGCATCTCTTATCGAGGAAGGTGTTTGATTTACGAAGGTTGGGCATTGAGGAGTTTTGCACTCTTAACTTTGGTCCGCATTCCTAGCCAAAGTCCAACCCGAAGCCGGCGGTGCTTGGCTGATGTTCGAAACCGTGGTGTCGCAGTGGGATTAGGGTTTAGGCTTCATGATGCCCCTCAGCGTTTGCTGTGATCGGAAGTAGATAGGCGACCTGCATGCCACTGCCGTGAAGTTGAGACCAGTTTCTTCTGCCTTGATAGGCAGATCCGGTCCGAGCTCTATCGGTAGGATAGTTCTTGGCAATACCTCATATTTGCACTTGGCCAGAAACCGTAAACCTTTCACCCAAACCGTATCTCCAACGCCCCATCTCCCTAAAGCCACAACAACAAAGAGCTATGCTGCTAAGCTTAGGAAGAGCGGCACTGCGCAACGATTCGCGCTGTTTGGGACATCCCTGTCGGCGAGGAGATCTCTGCGACTGCCCGTGAATTTGTTCGGTTGGTACCCCGTTGGGCCCCGAGAGTCCACATGTTTTGTGTTAATCGCAAAGTTGGAGGGTCCAGGGCAACCCTGATTGTGTTGGGATAAGCTTCCACGCAAAGGCATAACCTACACAGGTTGAATGGGGCCGCGGAGATGTCTTGAGGAAGAGCACGGGACGGATGGCTTTGCGGGGGGGGTGCGGCGTGAGTTTTGAGAGCTGTTTCTTTGTGTGCTCTCATGGTCATGGCGAGGCACAGAGAGAGAGAGAGAGAGAGAGAGAGAGAGAGAGAGAGGGAGGGGGAGAGAGTGGAAAGGTTGCATCGCCATACAGGATACGTGGATTCGCTGCAAGGGCCCTACCATTCTAATTCTACTTATGAAAGACCCAATGTCAGCTGTAGTGCCCTTCCTCGCGATGGCCGAGAAGATGTCAGGACTGGAGACTGGACAACTTGTGCTTCGAGACTTTAGGGTCTTCAGGGCCCAGTGCTTCAGAGTCTAGAGTCTAGACCTCAGCTCAGGATTTAGGGTTAAGCGTCTCGGATTCAGGGTGGGTAAGTCTGCACACTAGGTCAACACAAGGTCTTAGGTGGACTTATCCGTCGTAGCCCCTACCTGGACTCGGCTGCACCACCTAAACGAAGGTATTCTACGGATCCACCAGTCAGCTGCTAAGCCCAACAGCCGAGCGGCGCGAATTCCTCAGCCACCTGTCGTCTGAGATTGGGTCTGGCGCTGAAGGCCTTAGGGTTCAGGGTTTAGGGTTCAGGTTGAGATGCTAATGCTATCTAGTGCTCCAGGGTTCCGAACTCATACATACATGTAACGTGTACATGCATACCTGAGTATGCCGCGATGGCACGGGTTTAGATGCTGAGTTGCTTAATCTACTTGCAAACTGTTACTCCCGCCATATGCGGGGTAGTTGCCTCTGCCCCGGACACAGCGCGTCTAAGTATTGCTGAGGCCGCCATCACTAAGCACCCCGGATGTCGCGGAGTTTCCAGTGTGTGTACGTAGCGTCATCCGGCTCATCATTGTTCTTCAATAGTTAAACTCTGAGGGTGGGTAAGTCTGAGGGATACCGTTTAGGCGTGCGAAAAAGAAAGGATCCCACAGTGAAGGGCCATACCTGTGTCTTTCAGTTCCTGCCTAACACTTCCATGCAGCCGTTCAGTCGAGGCTTCTCCTGCCTGAACTGCAGTGAGTCCGAAACCCCTACCTCGGTTATAGTAAACCTCATACAGTTGGAAACCGGATTAAGGCCCAATAGTGCTGGGATTTCCTATAACTTACTCTCAAGGACTGAATCTGTTGGGTTTCCAAGCTTTAGGGTTTTACTGTATATGCCCCGTACCATGAGTCTAGGACAGCCTACCTATAGTCTCCATTGTACTGTCTTTCTTGGTTAACCAAAGATTCAATTATAGGATCCTGGCTAACCAAAAAAGGAACCGCAATGGAGACTATCGGTATGGTCCGAAAAATCAAGCACCCTAAACATAGGAATTCAGAAACTCCCACAGAGCCGAAGCCCTACACCCTACCCTAAGGCCCCAAAGTAGTTCCTTTTTGGGGTTTATATATATATATATATATATATATATATATATATACACACATACATATATATATATATACATATATATATATATATATATATATATATGGAATCCTATAAGGTAATCCCAAAAAGGAACTACTTTGGGGCCTCTGGGGTAAACCAGCTACCAGCCTTGTGCTCCACTCTTCCGCTAAGTCTAAGCCCTGTAAATCCAGCTGTCGGTGTAGCAGTGCTAATACTTTTTGGGGTGTTGCTGAGGCTCCATCTCCTGACATTTCAGGAAAGGCTATCCAATCAGTTGTGCGGGAGACTGTATCGGGTTGCTGGTGGAATCGTTGTTGTTATGCGAAGATATCCCAAACAACTCGTGCTGTCCTTTCCAATGCCTCAGCCGCAGCCACCTTGGCCTTCAACCTAACTGCAGGAGAACAGGGGCTCAACAAAAATGCTCACACACTGAGTCTAAGCCCTGTGGCCTAGGAAGTAAAGCAAGCCCTTATGCCCTGAGCTCAAAGAGAGTACCCCTAAACCCTCCTAAGCCCCGAACTCTGAGCCCCAAACCCAGTCCCAAGCTGTGGCCGGACTTCTGAGATTTCTGTGGTTTTTCATCCTCTAAACCCTAAACCCCTAAACCCTAAATCCTTAAACCCCCAAACCCCTAAAACCCTAAACGATAGGTCGCCCGCTTCTGAGCGAACTTTACAGGCAGCCCTCCCCCACCCTCCCGCACCCCCCGTGTGTGCCACTTAAACCGCTTTATTTGCCAGCAGACCTGTGTCTTGGGCTACGACCACCCGGCGTCCAGCATGCAAGCTGAGCAGCCTTCGGAGTTGCCGCCAGCGCAGGAGACACAGGACGCCACTTCACCCCAAAAATCTGTGCCCGAACGGCGTCGTCGCACCCATGATAGCGTGGCACCGCCAAAAGAAAAGGCAGCTAACTAAGCTGGTCCTCCTCGAGTCAACGGATTTGACAACCCGTGTCTCTCTGGTTCGTCGCAGCGGGCAGGGCAGCTTCCTATCCTTCAAGCTGAAGCCTCTGGCGCAGTGACCTCCTTCCAACGACTTGCTGGATTCGTTGAAGCATGCGCATGCGCGAAAGGAGGCGCATCGTGCGTTGTCGGCTATACCCGGCGCTGACAGACAGTGCCTCCACCGTGACCGTCGCAGCACGCCATGCGCGTGCACGATTTTGGCTGTCTGTCTCTCCTTTTGCCGTGCCTGCTGGCAGTTATGCGCGGTCGTGGATGATCATATAGGCATGGCGACGGCTTTCGCCTTCAGCTTTGACACGAGCAGCAGCTACTCCATTCCTGAGAAGAAAAAGGGCTTTGCACGTGCTAACATGCCCTTGGACCTGCCTCTCCAGCATGGAGACGCACATGCATGCGGCCAGTGCCTTTGACGCAAGTGAAGCAAGTGCCATAAGACCCATAACCGCCGTAACCTTGAATACCATGAAGCGACTGCTACCACTGCCATCTGCCTGTTGTCTTGGGCCGCTTCATAAAAGGTTCGAGTCTGTGAGTGCTCATACATGCATCTGCTGCATGAGCACGGGTCTCTGGCAGCTGTAGTTCTTCGTGCATGTTCTTGACAATTTGCATGTCTGCCAACAACACTATGTTTTGGCTCAAGTGAATTGTTTGTAGCTACTATGTCTGCCAAGTAGTGTAGCTCTCGAGTTGCACCCCGCGGTCGGTCACGCGATGCGGCGGGCGCTGCCTAGGGCTGGGCGAGCGTGAACTCGCGAAGCCGTAAAACAGTGGGCAAGCTGTGATTGCAAGGGTTGTTTGCAAGTCCGGTTTGGCCGGCTTCACAAATCCGCACTAGTGACGAATCTGCACTCGTGATGAGCGAAGCGACGTACGGCAGGGAAGACACCAGTCCCGTTCAGTACTACGCCTACAAGAACAACTGTTCCTGCTACCTGCACCACAACAACAATGACTACTGCTACTACTGCTACCACTGCTGCTACTACTACTACTACTACTACTGCCGCTGCTGCTACTACTACCACTGCGAGTACTACTACTAGTGACTAGTGCTGCCGGAAAAATTGATGGCATTGTATTGCAGCGGCGCTTCAAGAGCGCAGAACGAAAGTTTCCTTGCCCCACAATTCAGAGTTCGGCTGCGACTAGCTTGAATAGTAGCTGCATGCTCCTATCTCAGGTCCTTAGCAAGAGACCAATCAGTTGGCGAGTTTTTTCTACGTGCTGGTTGCAGGGAGGGGGGGTTCTGTGTGCGGGGGGGGGGGGGGGCTTTTGTTACCGCACGACCGTCAAACAATGACCTCTCCCCTAAACCCTTAAACCCCAAATCCGAAACTCCGAAACCCCGGAGCCCTTAAAGCCCAAAATCCCAAATCCCTAAACCTTCCGACCCCTGAATCCTAAAGCCCTAGGCCCGAAACCCATTCTGAGGTTTCTGGGGTTTTACTTGCTGCTGTGGCTCTTGTACCGACTCAGCCTCCGACGACCGTCGGGCGCGGATCCGGGAGCTTTCTGCCAGGAGCTCCGTCGGTTTGGCGCTTTATAGGGGTTTTGGGGGTTAGGGGTATTGGGGTTTAGGCGATTAGGGTTTAGGCGTGCAGGGGTTTAGGGGGTTTAAGGTTCAGGTTTTGGGAGCATAATTTTGCCAGAGATTCCAATAATCCGGGACGAAGGGATAAAGACTTGTGGGGAATATTTCTTACAATCAAGGTTTTTTCCTGGCTTGCATAGTCTTGGAGTTTCCAGGTTTTCTACAGGTGTACGGTTCGAGGCTTTGGGGGGTTGGGGGGCTAGGCTCGGCAGTCAAGGGTTGAGGGCAGAGCCGGTGCTTGAAAACGGTTGTCAGGGTCTGGTTCAGGCCTTTGGGGTTTGGAGTTTCAATTGTTTAGGCTTTTGGGCTTTTGGCTGCAAAGCTAAGAGCCTGCATAAATAGTCAGGCGCCTCCGTTTTTTGTGACCCAAAGCTGCAGTATGTCACATCCATCCTTTTGGTAGCCGTTCCCTTGGAAACCGTGTGTATTACTAGCAGGTGAGTATGCGGCTCTGCGTTCAATCCGGGTTATGGAAGCATATCCGGCATATCCCTTTGTACCTCCCAGTGCTAGATTCGATATTCACGAATTGAGACGTATGGCTGCAGCCGAGAGGCTTATCGTGATGGAGTGCTATTATTGTAAATACTAATTACTCTGTTCATTACGGGTTAGCTTCTTGGTGCAAGTTGTTATGGTTATGATTCGAATTCTTCTTTTTGTTATCTTACTACTATTACTACTATTACTACTCCTACTACTACTACTACTACTACTACTACTACTACTACAACTACTACTACTACTACTACTACCACTACCACTACCACTACCACTACTACTGCTGCTACTACTACTACTACTGCTACTACCACTACCACTGCCACTACCACTACCAGTACCACTACCGCTACCACTACCACTCCTACTACTACTACAACAACAACAACTACTACTACTACTACTACTACTACTACTACTGCTACTACTACTGCAACTACTACTCCTACTACTGCTACTTCTGCTCCTACCAGTGCTACTTCTATTGCACCTGTGCTACTATAGATCTCTAGCTCTGAAGCAGGCTCGACAGCCCAGCGGTCGGCTCATTTCGTTCGACGGAGGTCTACTCCCTGGCGGTGGAGCGACTCCCAGTTGCAAATTGCAGGGGATTAGGGTTTTGACTTGCAGATTGCGGTCATGTTAGTTAGGGGCCTTAATCATTACCTAGACTATTGGGGGATTCCTTATTATAGTTATAGCTTCTAATTATTAAGGCCCCTATGCTATAAGTTTTCGGGCTATCATACACAGGTTCGCACAATCCTCGGAATCCTTAACCCGGCTTTCGCGAAAACTGTTGGAGCGAGGAAGGAACGTTCCCTTAAAACCAAAGCCTTTTAAAAAAAAAAAAAAAAAGGGTTTCAGGAGCCGAAAACACTAAACTTTAAGCCTCACGTTCGATTCTTAAACCCTAAGCCACTGCAAGTTAACATTCATCTCCGCCAAGGACTGCACCTCTACGAGGCTGAGAAGCTCTTCTTCGCTGGCTTCTTCCGGGCGCTAGCAGCTTGCACCTTGACTCCTACCAGAAGCAGTGTGTTACCAAGACCCGAAAAGACTCCTTATACACATGTACAGTTTACATTATAATTGGAGAGAGAGAGAGAGAGAGAGAGAGAGAGAGAGAGAGAGAGAGAGAGAGCGAGAGAACAAGCATTCAAGCATTTATATAAATTACCATTACTATTTTCGGGGTTCCTTGTTATAAATATAGTATACTGGGCCCCAGAACCCTATTCTAATTGTAGAATGCCAGATAATTTGTGTACAGCTGGCTACCTTCTCATGTGTGCTGATGAGGTGCATGAAGGTTCAAGTGACCCATGGAGGACCTCACACCTTGGAACATGTCCGTAGTTCACAGCCGCAGCAGGTGAAGAAGCCTAGCCATCGTGTGTTCTGCGTGTGAAGCAAAACGATCAAGTCTCCGCTCGGTGCCCCATGGCCCTCTAACCACGGAGTTCTCAATTCGGAGATTCAGGTTGAGGATTGTCTTTGGTGGCATGCGGAACGACGAGGAAGTGAACCCGAACCTTGAGGATTTACCTTCTGGTGAGACTCTAGCCCCGGCTAGGAGCAGGGAGGATGTTCATCAAGATCAGCAGGTTATGAGCGCCCAATCTGCTACCGCAAGAACTCCTGTGATGATGAACGGAACTTATGGTTCAGTAGCGGTGGGCCCCATGAGCATGGACGGAGAGCTTCAAGGACCAGCTGTGCCAGAGGTGAGAGATGAGGGAGCAGGGAGTGGACTTCCGACCAGGTCTTCAGATGATACTGGGGTGGGTGCGTTGCGTGCTGCAGCAGGGCGTGTGGTTTCGAACGTCGTTGCTAAAATGCACGGGGCACTGCCAGCGGGGAGGTCTACTTCGTCTTCAGTTTTTCTGCCTCAGGAGGAGTCGGTTTCTGCGGGTACAGAAGGTACAGTGGACACTGGCTTTGCTACAGCAATTTCGAGGTCTTCAGGAGAAGTTCGTGGTGGGGATACGAGGTCCCAGTGTGCGGGAGGGCTGTTCTCTCCTCAACAGGCACGTCGTCTTCTGGAGATGCCAGGGGAAGCGCCGTTGCTGTATTCAGGAGGTGATTCTGCAGTGAGGGCGGCGAGGCCGAGTGTATCGGCTCCCGCATCGGTGGCACCTCCTTTGCCACACTCTTCGAGCTCAGACTCTGGACAGGCGGAGGCGATTCAAGCTGAGGTTCGAAGACAGATGGAAGCCTTTGTGAGTGTACAGAACGATCTGCAGCGTAGGGTTGTAGCGTTGACTGAGGAGAATCACATGCTTAGGCAGGTAGTGGCGGCTCCGGATCAGGGGTTGGATGGCCTAGGGGGTCAGGGTGGACGAAGCGGATGGTTGAGTGGTTTGAGACGTAATATACTGGGTTTGGTCCAACAGGTACCTGGGAAGGCTTCATCTGTGACCATGTCAGCCATTGAAGGCTGGCACTCAGGGCCCACGCAGGGCCTTCAGCAGCCAAATGCCTCATCGACTCCTCTGGTACCCATCCAGGGAGGTCCCGGGCCACCAGCCTATCCATCTCCACCGGGAATTCCGCTTCCCCCGTCACAGCCGGCAAGTGGGATGAACCCAACCCTAGCGTCAGGTTTAGGACCTCTGCCAGATCACCCTAGTGCACCCTTGGGTTTAGGTGTTGGCGTTGCATCGCACGCCGCAGGAGCGTCGGCTTATGCAGGTGTGGCTCCAGCAGATCAGAGTGCAGCAGGTGCAGATGCCTCCGGCCTTGGTTCAGGAGGAGCGTGTGGTGCTTCAATCAAAGTACCGGCACAGTATGGACCGCTTCCAGGAAGCACAGGTCAGCCAGCAGGCCAAGGCAAGCCTAGTCCGTTAGACGCGGTGTTGTCAGGCATGGTCCAGCTACAAGAAGTGGTCGCCGATCTGGCAGCCACCAAGGCGGCAAGTTCCGGGACAAGTTCGGGAGGCGCTCCTGAAGTGGTGAGACCCGGAATTCATGAGCTCCTGAAACTTCCCCCGCCTACATTGGAAGGAGCGTTGGGCTTCGCTGATTGGGTGCATGGAGTCAAACCAGCGATGTCAGATCTCTCTGACTCGTCTGGAGAGTGTTGGGAGATCTTGCTCACGGAGGCAAGAGACTGGTACCACAACCAGTATCTCAAGGCGACTCCCTTGTCCCGCGTGAGGCTCAAGTACCCGACGTCCTCAACGGAAAGACAACCCAAATGGGGACGAGTGCGACATAGGATGGAGCACCTGATCATCCAGTGTTGTCCGGAGTCTGTTCGGTCTGAGCTTTCGGCAGGTCGAACCACCGGGGTGTTGAGCATTCTGTGCAAGCTCCACTCAGTGTACAAGCCAGGAGGAGTGGCGGAACGAGCCGAAGCGCTCAGGCAAGTTCAGCAGCCTCGGGCGGCTGACTCGCCCATAGATGCAGTGCTCCGTCTTCGGACTTGGAAAAGGTGGCTCACAAGGCTAACCGACCTCGGTGGCGCCCAGCCAGATGCAGCCCTCAGTTTGCAGGCCTTGGAGGTTATTGCAGGCAACGTGCTCAAGTCTTTGCCAAACCTAGCGTTCCGCGTGAACTTGGTGAGAGCTTCCCTCAACGTGGACACCCAGCCAGATCACACCAAAGTCACCGAGTACTTTGAGCACTTGTTGGCAGAGTTGGAAGGAGTTTCCCGTGTGTCGGAGGCTACGACCACTGCAAGCCCCAGCCCTGCCACGAAGTCAGAGGCTACAAAGGTGCGTCAGGTTGCCCACTCGTCTGCACAGGACTCTTCGACTACGCCGTCGGCCGGTAGGGAAGGAAAGGGGAGCAAAGCTACGACACAGGCTGCGGGAGGGGACTCTCCTAAGAAGCTGTGCAAGTGGTTTCATGAAGGGAAGGGTTGCCGTCGTGGACGAGAATGCAAGTTTCTCCATGACTGGGCTCAGATCCCTAAGGGTGATCGGGCAGATCGATGCATAGCGTGCGGCGGTCAAGGCCACAGGAAAGATGCATGCCCAAACGCGCCGGGCCAAGCCAAGCGAGACGACGGTACCAGCGGCAACAAACCCAGCCGAGGAGACCCTAGCCCTAAGAGTAAGGCCGATCCAGGTCTGCGAAAGGTGTTGAGTGATGCTGCAGGAGTGCTCCGAGAAGCACTGGCCACAGGTTCAGCCTCGCCATCAGCGTCTCAAGCTCCAGGTGCCACAGGTGTGACAGGAACAGATTCGCAAGCCGAGGCCCAAGGCGAAGGTGCAAGCACAGGTCCAGTGATGGCGACGGCGGCGAAGATCCAGGCCCAGCTTGAAGACCTGGAAGCACGAGTTCTAGATGGCCGCCCACGCGTGCGGGCAGTGAAGAGCTTAGGCGATGAGGATGAGGAAGAAGCCACGGCGCTTCTGGACTCAGGCGCCACGCACGCCGTGTTGGATTCAAAACTGACGGCGACTGAACGCCTGGTGCCGTGCACCGTGTCCCTGGCTGGGGACCAGCGTCAGGTCTGGCAGCAGACCCCCGGTGGGTCATTGGTTGCCCCCGCCACAGAGGAAGGGAACACACCTCAGACCATACTGCCCCTGGGGTCCCTAGTTGAGCAGTTAGGCTGTCACCTTAAGTGGTCTAGGAAGTCCGGCCTGCTGTTGGTGCACCCTAAGCTAGGGAAGATGAGAAAATTAGTCTGAAAGGAGGGTGCCCCCAACTGTGCCGAAGCCAGGCTATGATGCTCGTAAAGGAGCTGGAAGCCGCGAAGCTTGGTGAGTTAGAAGGGCGACTTCAGCGTGTCCAAGCCCAGCTGAAGGTTTCAGAAGGTCTGAAGTTTGATGATGCCCTGGATGAGTTTGTCGGCACAGGAAGCTATGATGCCGCGGTTGCCTTTGCACAGGTGTTGCCTTTCATGAAACAGGTGCCACTGAAGGTGATCAACGGCCTTGCAACTTCCCTTGAGGGTGTGAACGGGTGGGAGGTATTGAAAGGGTTGCCCCTCAACCGCCGCACCAGAAAGAGGTTGTATCAGTCAAGGTGTTGGCTCATCAACCAGGCTCCCGGACCAGTTGACCCTTTGTTGCGTCAGATGTGTGAGCAGCGTGGTGTGGAGTTGGTCAATGTAGCAGAGTTCAAGGCCAGCAGTTCTGAACCCTCTGTGTGGAGGGCCCTGTCATGGGCATGCTACTCAGGGCGTGTGTCAGCCATCGTGGCTGAAGCTCCCATGAGAACCTGGAATGACATCCAGGTGTCCACTGGGGAATCTGTGAAGTTGCGCAGCGCAGGGTTTCCCTGGGGTTGCCCAACCAACACTAGGTCCATGCAGGATGGGGTTAATGCCGATACCCTCTCAGGATTGCAACCCTTTTGGTTATGGACGCTAGCTTCAATAGCTAAGGGCGAAGGGATTCCAATGTGCCAGACGCAATCAGTAGCTTCGCAGGACCCTACCCATCCCTGGGTGTCGTTGGTTGTTGGCCCATTTGCAAAGTGGAGTAACAGCAGCTGTCTTCAGGTGCCATGCCGAGCAGAGGGTCAGCCCCAACACAGGTCAATAGTTGCGTGCACGAATTTGGGTTTCTCGCAACAGGTCCAGGAGGCTACCGCTCAGAGTGCGCCGCTTCAATGGACTGACTTTATGAGAGCACGCACGTTGGCTTTGTTTGGTGAAGGTTGCTCTGGGCGCTTTGGGGTTTCTCCGCAGGAGCCGCATGTCGATGCAGTTGCAGTTGAAGATTCAGCCCCGTCCCCACAACGAGATGGGAGCCCGCCAACGGTTCCAGAAGAAGGTCAAGCTCCCTCAGGGGACTTGGAATCGCAACCTAACCCTTCGTTTCGGGGTCAGCCCTTGAGTGACAAGGAAAGGGATCGCTGGCGCAGGCACATAGAGGCGCACCATTTGCCATTTCGCAAGGACTGTCTGCAGTGCATTATGAGTGGAGCGCTGGGTTTGCAGCATCGCCGCATCAAATGTCCCAACATGTATGCCCTCAGCTACGATCTCACAGGGCCCTTTCAAGAAAAAGGGGTCGACGAAAATGGAGGGTGCTACAAGTATGCTCTGGTTGCAGGTCTTAGGGTTCCAGATATAGCCCTTCCACAGCCGTCCTCTAGAGAGAAGACCAAGCCGAAGGGAGGTGATGCAGATGTTGGTAGTGACAAAGGCCAGCCTCAGGTTGCTCAGCCTCCGCCGTTGGATGATCTTGACCGGGAGCATATCGACTGGTCCGGTGCAGAAGATGCACCCTCTCGCGAGGAGGAGGCGCCATTGTTCTCAGCCAAGGTTAAAGCAGCGGAGGGTTTGGACGGTGACGGCGTGGATTCAGAAGCTAGTTGGTTGCTAGACGGTTTGGGGTTGCCAGAGCCTTTAGAACTTTAGATGAAGAAGAGAGGCATGAAGGGCCACCTGAGGAGGAGCAGCCAGAGATCAATCCACCTGAGGACCCTTCCGGGAGGTCAGGAGATGATGAAGACCCATGGAGGGACAAGCATGGTGTAGCTTCTATGTCAGATGCAGAGTTTGACGAACTTGTTTCCCAGTCTGCCTTCACAGGTGCCAACAAGGTCTTGAGGTTTGTGGTTCCCATCAAAGGCCGTCATGGGAGCTACATCCTAGCAGGGCTTCAAGAAATCGTCACCGAGTGTCACCGTGCAGGCTACCCCGTGAAGGTGGTCCATACAGACCGTGCCAAAGAGCTGATGTCAAAGGCAATCATGGATTGGTTGCAGTCCCAGCTGATACAGCCCTCTTTCACACAAGGCGATGACCCTAAATCCAATGGTCTAGCCGAACGACTAGTTGGATGGGTAAAGGCTAGGGCCAGGCTACACTTGGCATCGTCAGGTATGGGAGTGGAAAGGTGGCCATCAGCCATGGAGTTTGCTTGTGCTGAGCATCGCCATCGGATGCTATGCAAGGAAGGCAGTGTCCCAAGGTTTGGCCAAAAGGTGGTGTTCAAGAGCAAGCACCCGACGGGCAAAAGCAAAAGACCTTTCATTAGGTGGGAGCATGGCGTGTACCTACATCCTACAACGAGGACAGAGGGAGGCCATTTGCTGTTGCGTGCCGCTTCAAATGCTTTCCTGGTTGCCAAGAACATACGGACCACCGAGGAGCTGTTTGATCCAGAAGCTGCATTTGGCACTGATGCGTTAGAGGCAGAGGTTGAGGACCACAAGCCCAGTGAGGAAGTTCCAAAGGCACCAGAGAGGAGGGTAACGGGTAAAAGGTCGGTTAAAGCAGTGCAGCTGGCTTCAGAGGCCTTATCAGCCGAACTGTTGAGGGACCAAGCCTTCTCCGCAGATGATTGTGGTAGGGTACTAAGTTTGGCTTTCGAGGGTGCATCCGGAGGGACCAAACGTGAGCATCGGGGACCAGTGGAGTTTTCACTAGTGCTGGGCTCCTACTGCCATGGAGGGATTAAAGGGATCACCCGTGCCAGCCGAGTTCACCCAAACCTCTGTAGGTACCTCAATCACTACCTCCGTGCCAACAACCACAACTCCCATCCGGGAGAATGGACAGCGATCCTTGTGATGGTGGCTGATCAGATAGCCCCTCATGCTGATGTGCGCAATGAACCCGGAACCACCAACTGCGTGTCTCATGTGACGTCGAGGAGACTTTGGGTGGCTTCCAATGCGGGAGACCCTGCCATACAAGCGACTGATGTGAGGGAAGAGCCATCTTGTGAAAGGAAAGACGGTCAGGAAGTTATGGGGCATTCGGTGTCAGTGGGCCAGGATGTTGTGAGCTTCAATCCGAAGTGTCGTCACTCCCTGGGCGCAGCCACCAATTGGGTGGTAGCAGGCTATAGTCCCTTAGGCTCCCACGCCCTGCCAAGCACAGACCAAGACACCTTAAAGACCCTTGGGTTTAGACCCCCGCTTCCAAAGGCCCTACCAAAGGTGTGCAAGTTGGTGGGACCCAATCCTCAAAGAATGCCAGTTCCGCGTGGTTTACAGCGTGCAGCTCCCCGGCCGGGTCGAGCAGGTATGAATGTGAGGTTTGCAAGGATGTCAGCCCAGGAATGGGAGGAGTTGTGCCAATTGGATGAAGAGCAGTTTGAGGAGAGATTCGCCAGGTGGCAGCGGGTCCTTGGGGGGACAGATGAAGACCCAGATTTGAATCCCTTCTCTGCTCGGATTCCACAAGGTTTGTTGGTAGCAACCATCTTTGAGCAACGGGACTGGGAAAGGGACCCGATCTTAGCTGTGCGCCGTGATGATGGAACGACTATCACCCTTGCGAGAGTGTACCAGTTCTCAGACGACAGCTATGTAGATGACTCCCCGTTTCCAGATCGCATGTTGATGTATTCAATCCACGACTACACCAGGGATGTGTTTGAGATGGTTATCCTTCGGGTTGAGATGATAGAGGTCCCACCTGATCCACCAGACCAGCCTCAATTAGCAATTCCTGGCCCTCCACCGCCCGAGATCCGTGCTGTTCGAGCGTCACAAGCCGTTGAGCCACCTCAAGAAAGCTGCCAGCTTCCCATTCCTTTGCCCAATCCTACACACCTCAAGCATGCAGTGTCCGAACTCAGGAGGAGTGCAAAGGAGGCAGAGGAGGTGAGTGTCAACAAGGCAGAGGCGGCTACTACGAAGGGGCTTGAGGATGTGTTGGGAGCTTTGGTTGAACCTCTGAGCGTGACCCACACGGCATCTCAGGAGGAGGTGCGTTCGAATCTTGACAAATGGAAGGAGTCAATCAAGAAGGAGCTCTCTTCGTTGCTAGGTCCAGGTGTGTTGGTGAGCCACAAGGGCCAAGATGCCAAGGATCGACTGAACGATCCTTCGACAACAGTCATCTCCTTGAAGGGCGTCTTCACTGCTAAGCCCCCTTCATCCCCAGAGGAGGGGTTGTTCCGCAGGAAATGCAGGCTTGTGGGCTGTGGAAACCAGGCTACCCATGTAGATGCAGATTCCCTTTATGCAGCTGGTGCCCCGGCCGAGGTGGTTAGGACAGTGCTGACTCAGGGATGCCGGCATCAATGGTCGGCCTTTACCACCGACATCAAGTCGGCTTTCACTCAGACGCCGATTCCGCCACATGCCGCTCGGCGGTATTTGCTCCGGCCACCACGTTGGATGGTGGAACTTGGGCTTGCAGAGCCCGGCGAGTACTACTCGTTGGGAAAGGTCTTGTACGGCTTCAAGGAAGCACCTGCCTGGTGGAGTGAGCACAGGGATGCGAAGCTTCTGACGGCAGAGTTTTTGGGATGCCATTTGGAACAAGGGCAGTCCGACCCTTCTGTCTGGCGTATCATGCGCGGCCAGCAGTTATCTGGCTACCTTGTCACCTACGTTGACGACTTCCTGATCGTGAGTGACAGAGCAACTGCTGTGGGGTTACACCAATGGCTGCTTGAGGGGGCAGGGTGGCAGACAGATGGCCTGAGTGAGGCCAAACCTGGGTCGCCCATAAGGTTCCTAGGAATGCAGCTAAGTGGGTTCGAAGATGGGCATTTTAGTCTGGACCAAGAGGCCTACGTCGATGAGCTTATCAGGTCCTACAACTTGCCCGAGACCGCAAGGTCCAAGGTCGTTTGCCCCAAGGAGTTGCTTTTCAACGAGGACAAAGCAGACGATGCGGATCCCGACGAGAAGGTCGTCAGAGCGGCACAGAAGATTGCCGGGGAGTGTTTGTGGCTCTCGCAGCGCACGAGACCAGACATTGCCTACACGACAAGCGTCCTGTGCGCGAAGGTTTCAAAGGACCCACACGGGGCGCTAGCCGTAGGCCATAGGCTTCTGTCGTACCTGGCCCAAACGAAGGGCTACAAGCTGCATCTGACGCCTGATCCAGAAGCTCCGCCAGTGCGTGTCTTCACAGACGCTTCGTTCTCCCCACAGGGAGAGCACTCCTACGGAGGGCACATCGTAGAGGTCTACGGCGTGCCGGTGCTTTGGAGAGCATCAAAGCAGGCGTTAATCGCCTTGAGCTCAGCGGAAGCTGAACTCATTCAGGCCGTAGAGGGGGCAACGTATGCCGAGGCTTTGATGGCAATGCTGAGTGACCTCCGCATCCCGTGTTCCGGTGCTGAGCTCAACCTGGACAACACTGCTTCCATCTCCTTCATCGAAGGATCTGGGAACCAGAGGACCAGGCACTTGAAGGTTCGAGGGCATAAGATCAGGCAGTTGTTAGCCTTTGGTTGGACCGTTAAGCACTGCCGGGGTGAGATCCAGCGGGCTGATTTACTCACGAAGCCGCTGCCCTCACAGCGGGTGAGGTTCCTGTGCGGACTACTGCGACTAGTTCCCGATGAGCCTCACCGGGAGGATGCAGCAGCTGAACTGCCGGCGGTGAGACAAGTCACTGCCCAGACATCTCCATGCCTGGCTGGCCTACTGTTGTTTCTCCAAACCTGCGGGTGTCTTGGAGGTTCTGAGGAGGAGGAAGGATCGGGTGTTTCCATAGAGTGGCCCTGGGAGTTGGCATTGGTCACACTCATGATCGTGCTGTCTACCCTGTTTGTGTGGGAAGCCACCGGGGCTCCATGCAGGAGGCGAGCTCCTCCAGAGGTGGCACATGTTCGCGCAGTGAATGGGGACCCACGCAGCAGGCGTTCTAAAAAGCTACAGGATCAAGTGAAGGCTGCCATTGACAGTGTTGTCAACAGTCCAACGGAGGACGACGAGCCTCCTCGTGCCCGGGGAAGGAACAAGTGTCCAGTCGGATCATCTGGGAGCACCAGCCCAGGTGTGAGCAGCCAAGGCCCCACCGTTGTCTACGGTGGAATCAACATGCACATGCACGGTGGTTCTCATGATGAACCCGCGCCTGCCGGCTTCCCTGCCTTCCAAGCTCCGCTGACCTATCCAGGGTCGTCCAGTCAACCCGGGCCAACCACAGAGCTACCGAGTGCTCCTGTCTCGCACAATCCACCCTATCAGCCTCCCAGGCCTGAAGGACGGTTCAAGGGTCAAGAAGTGTCCACTAGAGCCCCTAGAGCAGTGTCTTCAAGTTCTCAGGCTGTGCAGACAGACCCGGTTGTGATTCTGGGTCCAAGTGACAGGGTTTACATGTCTGAGGGAGGTGATTGCATCCACGCGTGTGAGGGTTGTAGGGGGTTGAGGCAGGCAGGACACGTGAAACACAAGAAGGTCTGCCAGTACTGTGTGAGATCACGAACCCTTTAAAGTTCTTTCAGTTTGAAGTGTGGCAATCGACTAGCGTCGTTGCCAAGGAGGAGTGTAGAATGCCAGATAATTTGTGTACAGCTGGCTACCTTCTCATGTGTGCTGATGAGGTGCATGAAGGTTCAAGTGACCCATGGAGGACCTCACACCTTGGAACATGTCCGTAGTTCACAGCCGCAGCAGGTGAAGAAGCCTAGCCATCGTGTGTTCTGCGTGTGAAGCAAAACGATCAAGTCTCCGCTCGGTGCCCCATGGCCCTCTAACCACGGAGTTCTCAATTCGGAGATTCAGGTTGAGGATTGTCTTTGGTGGCATGCGGAACGACGAGGAAGTGAACCCGAACCTTGAGGATTTACCTTCTGGTGAGACTCTAGCCCCGGCTAGGAGCAGGGAGGATGTTCATCAAGATCAGCACTAATTATTAAGGCCCCTCTATACTACCCCCTTATAGTAAATAATCCTTATAGACCCCTTTAAATGGATTCTTTAAGGGAACCCCCATTCTAATTATTAAGACCGGCATTGTACCTTTCGGCGACCGAGGCGTGGAGCTCTCCGAAGCCGCCGGCGCCCCGCGTGCAGAGCGGCAGCGCTGGGCGGAGCGGGCACTAAAGCACGCAGCTGGGAAGGTTAGGTATGGGTTAAGTAGGGTTTAGGGGTTTAGGGGCCTGGAAACTTGGCTTTTCGATGTCCATCCTAAGGATTGACACGTGTCCTTTTAAAGTTTCACATAGTTCTTGTGTATGACGCTGTTGAGAGTGGTCGCATGCAAGGCATTATGTCTTGTGTGTTTCCTCTTTCTTCAAGGTACCCGGCAGTCGCAATAGGCCTGGATGCAAAAGGGGTTAGGAAGTAAAGAGAGATTAGGGTAGGCACTGCGGCAGGACCCAGGGTTGCAGGTTGGGGGATGTTCAGAGTTTAGGGTTTCCATTGCGACAGAGCTGCTTGGTCGACTTGCGGGGTTCGGGGTTTAGTCAGGACAGCAAGGAGCGAGTCAACGACACTCCCTTGATAATACCCTTGTGTACGTGTTAAACTGGAAGAGGTTGGGGAGTTAACAAGTCAAGTTTTGAAGCTTCAGGCTTCAGGGAGCACGGCTCAAGACTCACATCCTGTGCCTGAGCCGACAGTTATGGTTGCTTGGTTTACTTTTGCACGGATTGTCCCCGCAAAGTGGTGCAAGCAATGATTCGCTCTCCGTCGCTTAGGCAAGGCTCTTCCATGCAGACGATACGACCCTGCTTGACCGGTGCGCAGCGGCTGTGGAGGTGACCTGCTGACTGCTACTAGCTAGAGAAACTGAAAACATCAACCCCCAAAAAGGCCCTAAACTCACCATCACACATAAAAGAACGGGTTTTCTTCGGACAAGCTGCGCTTCTTGGTGCTTCCAAACCCGAAAGAGCATTTCAAGCACCTCGCTCATAGTTGTGCGGAATCCTTTGTGGATGCCCCCCATCCAACCTTCTCCCATAGAGCCCGATGCCCTTCACTTAGGAAGACAATGTGGGTTGCACCATTATTCCTACCATGACGAACGTGCATTCCAAGCCTCTTCGAAATCCAGGCTTCACTTTGTAGCAGCCAAAGCCTCCGCACCCCAAACAGGCTGCGTCACCCAATAGCCCGAACTTCAATGCAAAAAACATGCAGCCCTAAACCGTACAGCCCGAAACCCGACATCCCTAAAGCTCAACATCAAAAGCGCCTTACAACTGGCCTCCTAAACTGCCTTCGCAGGAGTTGGACAGGGAAGATCCCGAGGTGGGCTATTCGATACCACCTACGGGGGTTTTATGGGGTTTACAGGCAATGGAGTTCCGTTGCATGTAGGATTAGGGTTCTATGGGGTTCATGGGTGAAATCCCAATTGTAAATGGAGCTCATGGACAACATGGGGTTCATAGGGTTTAGGGGGCTCCTGGCTTTTGGGTCGTAGGGTTAGCTAAGGTTCCATGGGGTTGTACAGGTTGTGGGGCGTGCCGTAAGTTTTTTAGAGGCTCTATGCAGCTTCTTCGTTAGTGCTCTGATGGTTTTGTGGAACCGTGCGGGGCTGTGAAGGGTTGTATAGGTGATCAGGGTTTCGACAGCTTCCGACCCGTTCAACGTTCCTGCGGCTCATAGTTGGTCCTTAAAGGGTTCGTTCCTTTGCGGGCTTAGGACGAAAGGTTTCTAGGCTTTTGGGTTCCTATATTTATTGGAGCAACTGAAGCAACTACGGCGACTTCCACGACATGGACACCAACCACAGCAACCACATCGAGCAGGACTGATCTGCATGGGTAGGAAAGGGGTGTCCTGACATGACTTAGCCGTGTCTCGGGCATGTGGACTTGCAAGCGGAGCAACTGACTGGGAGCTTTCTGTCCAGTGGATGTTCCCGAAGCCGTAGTGGCCCGTTCCGCATCATGTGGTATTCAGGCGGGAGGCGAAGGCTGAATAAGGATGGGTCTGTTCAGATGCTCCAACCTTCAAGAGTGAGTAATTACAGTGTTTCACACGTGCAGGACCCTTGCCCCCCAACAACCCTAACACCTGCCGTCTCCATCAGAACGGTAAGGACGAGAAAGTTGACATGCGAGCAGTGTGGTCACCCGACATTCTGGGCCCCTTCCTGATTGTCCCTGAGACCTCATGTTAGTAGGCGTGCATTGGAACTCCTTGTTCCATGGCCCCTTCGGAGGGAATTGTAACTGCACATTTGAGTCTGTAATTCCTTTCCAAGCATCACGATTTCGCAACATGTGCGTCACTCGTGCCCCCACAAAACGAAACCGCCAGCTTAAGTTGTTGAGGGATTAGGGCCGCTTCGTCCCGCTTGGCGGCAAGAGGGGCGACTTTGCCCTCATCTGTTTGCTCGAAGCACGGACATATCGCAATCGCAAAGGTCTCCCGGTTAGTGAGGGCTGAGGCTCATCCTATCTTGGCAGTTTTAAGGCACTTTCCTGAATCGTTTCGGCTGGAATTAGCGCCGCTATATCCTGGCCCCCGATCTTCAATCTTCCTCAACCAGCCAGACTTGGCGTGTTGAAGGGGTTTATCATCAAGCACATCATGTCCGCAGCCGGCGATGTCGTTGCCGGGCATTTGGTCTCGGGCATTCCGATGGGCAGGCACGTTGGCTCTGTGCTTCCAATTGAATTAATTGGGCTTGTAAGTGTTGAAAACTTCCAAGGACACATTCTCTTTAGCATGGGGCCTTTTGAAGTTTCGAAGAACATGGGGACGGTGTTACTTCGTGATCTTTTTTCGCTTGAGCACCAGTGGGCAGGCTTTGCGCAGTGACATCGGCGAGCAACCGTGTCTTTGGGGACGCTCGCTTAATAGGAGTCTTCACAAACAAGTTTATTGTGGGAGCTATGCGCGGAAGATCTAGGCTAATTAGTTCTGACCCCCAGGTGCAGCAACAGCAGTTGCATGGGCATTTCCACCACCGAAGGAATCGCGATGTGTCATTGCGTAGAAAAGCCATCGAGAAGAGCACTGCTCACTGTAGTACTTCAACAGCACGTGACTATAGTCTCCTCAGGAACTATGTATCGTTTTTGTTTATATAAAACGTAAGCGGATATTAAACATATCATGTGTTTGATGGTTCTAAGGGGCGTCTCCTTAGGAATCATTTACCGTTTTCTTGATATCAAACCAAAGACGATATCAAACATATCATTCTTTAACAGTTCTAAGGGGGTATACTGTGCGTGATGTATCGTTTGTGTGAGGGAGGTGGCTAGACTTCAGCCTCGGTATTGTCTGGCCCTTCGGGGCAAGAGATACACAACAGAGGCCTCAATAATTGTTCAATTACTAGAAAGGGCCTCAATAGTTAGAACAGGGTTGTCTCTAAAGGGTTCTAAAGGGATCCATAATAGGGGTCCATGGTATAGAGCCCTAAATAAGTGCCTATACCATTTTGTGGGGGTTCCCGATTATTGTTATTGTATACTGGGCCCCAAAGCCCTATTCGAATTATTCAGGCCCCTATATAAAGCCTCCAATGCCTCGTGAAAGAAACACTGGAATCCCTAGGGCTCCAGTTACCAGAGGAGTGGGTTACTTGCCATATATTAAATACCCCAGTAACCTACTATTTGGGTAACTGCAGCCATCGGCAATGTTACAGGCCGGTTCCTGATCGCTCGCGAGTGACGGTCGCCTTCCTTCGGCATTCCTTGCTTCGTTTTGCCTTGCTAACTGCGGTTCACCCTTTATCGCTTGATACCTGACACCTGGCGATACAGGTGCCGACTAAACCACTAAACAGGTGACCAGCGACTCGTTTCAGCAAGCAATAGACGGGTAGTCTAAACAGGTGACTAGCGACTCTTTTCAGCAAGCAATAGACGGGTAGTCTTTTCCCACTCAATTAGTAGTCCTGGGTCATTCGGATGGGAACCTCCGCAACCCAACGGCAGCAATGGACATTGTTCTTGCTTGAACCTTAAAGCTGCGCAGAGGGCTGTAGTATTACTTGGGGTTTTCTTCATGTGTCCTTTCCTTTCAGAAAGCCGTGCGAGCACAAGGTCGTCACGCAGATGGAGGCGCTTTCAAGAGAAGCTTCTGAAGACCAAGGCCTTGATTCTCCTGGTTTCTTGGTCAAAGGCTGGATCCTGGAGCTGGCAGAAGGTCACCTGGCCGCTTCAGCCTTTAGCAATCAGTGTAATTTCAATGACAACTGTAAGGGTTGCGCAGCTGCGTTGCCCAGGTAGGGATGGCACCCTCCGCTGGGCAGACTTCATCCCTTCCTGCAAGAATTGCAAGGAAAGGCTCCGTCCCATTCTGATACACGGCGAAGTAGCAACATGCCCGGAGTGCAACGCGGTGAGGTTCAGTCATTGCACTGTTGTTACGTCGAGTTTATAGCACGTTCTCTAAAATCTGTACATACAGAAGCTGTACATGTATCAATTACATGATAGAGCAGCACAGGTTGTTGGTAATGATAGGATACGAGGGCGGTGCTCAGCTCCAACAGCTTCTTAGGCAATGGCAGGAAGGGCGCAGGCCGCTGCATGAGATTCAGCTGCCCTGACGACTCTGAGACTCCATTTTGTGACGCGGGCTGTGCAACGTCTGACGGGCAAGCATATTGCGGGAGTCACCCCTACTTTGGAGGTTATGATTTTGACCCTGACGATCCTGACACTGATGAGCGATGCTGCAAACCGGGTGGCGTGCCACTATTTCAGGTAGCCGTTGCGGCACACCGACGCTTCGAAGTCCACCTTGCGGTTCTATGCCCTGCAAGCCTGAACCTCTATGCTGGAGTGTTTCTTACCTCGTACGGTCCGGATGATGATTCTGATGATGATGACTGTGACGTGACATCGTTCCGAATTACTTGTCACACAGGAGAAAGGTCGGTGATATCTTGCGAGGAGATTTCGGGAGAGCTGGGCCGCGTGACGGGAGCAACCATGCTCGGGGCAGACATGCCAGACCCCATCGGGTTTGGTCAATCAAGGCTTATGCTTGTGTACCAGAGGGGTAGCCCTTTTCTCCTTCGCAATACAAAATCATATGCATGTGAGTGGGCTGGCCGAGCTGAAATCGCCTGCCCTGACGAGTACGACAAAATCAGATTCCCAGACCAAATCGTCCATTTGGGATCGTCTTCCAGCTGGGCCAAATTGTCACTCCATACTTTGTGGGTCATGGATTTCCCTGCAGGGGCAGAGCACATAGTTGTGGAAGAGCTTGCCAGACAGGTGGCATGGCGCAAGGTGCTAGATCTTGAGGACTTGGTGGCGGAGAATCCCTGCTTGCTCGCGAACGGTCCCCGGGATGGACAACTGATGATCTTCATCGCAAACAAGGGCTGCTTGCCGCCGTATGCAGCCCACTGTAATGACCAAGTGTAAGAAGTCCATTGGGACGTAGCCAGACCATTGTCATCGAAGTACTTTTACACGCGAACCACTTCGACTGCTACTACTACTAGAGAATACTAGAGTCCAAGGTCATGTGTGTGAAGCCATGTTTTCCTCATCCCTGAACCTACTGAAGTGTCGGTTGATTTTCGCCACGAGGTGTCAAAGGCATGTTTAGGGGTCGTGAGCATGACGATGATAGTCTGGGTGTCGGACAGACTTCAGCTTTGATCATTGTTCGGCTGAGTCGGAAGGCATAGGCTTGGTTTTGGCGGGATACTAGGGACTTAGCACACGTTTCCGACGCAAGTTTTTTCGCACTTCACGTCAACCCTTGAATGTAGCGTTGGTTGATTTGGCCACGCGGTGTCGGGGGTTTGTTGTAGAGAGTTTGACCCGTTTGGGTGTCAGATCGGTTTGGTTGGCTCATTGATGATGTAAGCATAGTTGGTTGCCACTTTAGTCTTGTTATCACCACCATCAAGGTTATCATTGTGAGTATAAGGATAACCTTTAAATCAGCAGCATGATCACGTTTATCACCAACCAGCGCCATCATCATCTTCACCTCCTCAACGGTCACTCGTTGTCACCAGTGCAGTCAGTCGCAATCATCAGCCTACTGGTTTCATCAATCTTTTCGTCATTGTCGCCACCAACATCACCATACTCGTCATCACCACCGCTCTTGCCAGCATCGTCACAATCAAGGCCACATCGTCACCATCATGATTGTCGTTTTGCGTATGTCATCTCATCTTCATCATCGTCACCATTCCGTCCAGCATCCTAGTCCCAATTGCAGTCAGCAGTCGCCCAGGTAGCCATCAGTTTGGTCATCATATCATCATCAGCATCAGCTCCCTTTTCGACATATGTTTTCATCATCTGACTTTTCACCGCGAGCATTGGCAACATTGGTTCCAATATCATAGGTTCCCACGTGATGGAACTTAGAGGAAGAAACCAGCTAGACAAGACCGGCGGTATGCTTGAGTCAACGGGAATGACCAGCAAAGCAAGGGGGGGTGTAAACCCACAGACTCGGGTGCATGCAATGATGGGTCCATCTATGGAAGGAAAACACCACACAGACGGAGTAGGTATTGGACCACTCAGGTGCTTCTCTGGGCACAGACAACGAGCAAAGGAAATGTCATGTCTCCTGAAGAGTTCTAACTTTGTTCTCGTTGTTTGTCGAGTTTTGTTCGAGTTCTCCTGGCGTTAAACAGGCCCTTAGATTATGTTTAGCTTCTGGTTTGCTTCTAGCTTCTCCTAGATTATCCTGTTTTGCCCGGGGTTTCATAGCAAAGTGGGCCAGTGGCGAAAGCTTCGTTTTGTGGAAGGTAAACCGCTGTGCTAGGAGATAACGAGGCAAGATTGACGGATGGAATTCCTTGGCCTGTTGTAGCTTTTCAGCCGCATGGCTTGTCGTAGCTTTCTTCAGTTGTTCCTAGCTTTCCTGAGTTCTCCTGCAAATTCGGCTGTTTCCTGGGTCATGGCTCAGCTCGCGAATACCAGTTGTTTTGGCTTGGAAACAGCTACGTTTTGACCGCGCGACAGCACAGGGATCGGCCTTAAGAAAGATAAATAGGCATTAGCAAAAACAAATAAGCATCAAACCAAGATAGGCATCTAAACAAAATCACACTGTTTAAAGCTATAGAATGAAAGAGAGAGAGAAAGAGAGAGAGAGAGAGAGAGAGAAAACAAAAAAGAAAGCCCGAGAGAGCCCGTCCGCCCCTACGCCCGGCAGAGAGAGAGAGAGAGAGAAAGAAAGAAAGCAAGAAAGGAAAGAACGACAGAAAGAAAGAAAGATTTACAGAGAGAAATAAAACGCAAGAATGAAAGAACGAGAGGAGGGAAGGAAGTAAGACATGAATAAAGAAAGAACCGAAGTTTTCAAAGAAAGAATGAAAAGGAATGAACGAGCGAAATAAAGAAAGAAGACCCATAACACAAACAAAACTGAAAAACACGAAAGAGAAATAGCAATTGAAAAGTTCATAAAGACAGAAACAAACAACAGAGTAGTACATAATCCAATATAGTAAACGTATAGCATAATGCTAATGCAATATAATATACTGATTGTTCTGTTATGTGTATATGCGAGCATTCTGTTTGCAAGTGGGGGGGAGCTGCACCCCCCTCAACCCCGCTTTTGTAAGCCTTGAAGAATATGGTTCTTTTTGAAACCAATCACACGAGCATTGTGTTTGCAAACGGGGGGGGGCTGCTCTCCCCCCAAACCCCCGCTGGTTTCAGCTTGAAACCGTGCAAGCTTGCTTCTAAGTACACTTATCATGCGATCATTGTGTTTGGGACGTGTTGTAGATACTTGCTGAACCAGTATCGCTAAATGGGGGGGGGGGGGGCGTGTTTAAGATGTATGTATATGTACATATACACATACATATATATATATATATATATGTATACGATGATGAATCGGAATCGCCAAACGAGGGGGCGTGTTTAAGATATATGAGGAACCGGAATCGCCAAATGAAGGGGCATGTTTAAGATATGGGAGTTTCCGAAAATAGGGGCACCTTATTTTGGGGTCCTTATAATACGGATCCTACTATCTAGGGGTATGAGGGTTCGCCTGTTTTCGGAAACTCCCATATATTATGAACAGGAAACGCCAAATGAGAAGGCGTGTTGTAGATATATGAGGGACCGGAATCGCCAAATGAGGGGGCGTGCTGTAGATATATGATGAACCGGAATCGCCAAATGAGGCGGCATGTTAATTAAGATTCTTGCTGAATCCGGAATCGCCAAATGAGTGAGCACTGCTACTTCCACATGCGTTGTAGCGCAGTTACATCTTGGTCTATGGTACCTCCACACGCGTGAGGCGTGTTTAAATAAATAAATATAAATATATATATATATATATATATATATATATATATATGTGTATGATAAACCGGAATCGCCAATGAGTGCGCGTCTTGTAGAGATATGATGAATCCCCAAGTAAACTGGCGTGTTTAACGTGTATGATGAACCGGAGTCGCCAACGGAGGGGGGCGTGTTCAAGATATGATGAACCGGAATTGCCGAACGAGAGGGTGTGTTTAAGATTTATGATGAATGCGAATCGCGAAATGAGGGGCATGTTTAAGACATGTGATGAACCGGAATCGCCAAATGAGGGGGCATGTTTAAGATATATGAGGAACCGGAATCGCCAAATGAGGGGGTGTGTTTAAGATAAGCATGAACCCAGGGAGGCAGGACATGTACACTAACAGACACAAATCTCTCTCCGATGCTCCTTCCTCCCACCAGCCACACAAATCAGAAAGTCCATGCGCGGGGGAATGAGAATAGACCTGAACCGTTGCGAGGTAGGACACCCCGAAACCCAACACCCTAGAATTGGGCGAGGATGGCCGAGGCAAATTGTCCCAGGAATTGCTGCATTTCCTTCGATTTTTGATGCTTCTTTTATTTTTTCTACTGATCATTGGATTTAGTTTTTTTAATGCCCATTTAGTTTTGTTTGATGCCTCACCCTTAGCACAAGGCCTATCAGTCCGGAGGTTGACTACCTTTCGACTTGCGCTGACAGCTCCTGTTCCGCTTTTAATCTTGAGCCCACCCAAGGTTTGGCAGTAAAGCCTTGGCTGCTGGTGGAGCTCGGTGGAGAGCCCAAGGGCACGTCAGTGCAAACAACCCGCCTGACGTCAACAGTTCACATTCCCACAAATGTCAAGCGGTCATCAAACATTCTCCCCTATAGCATACGACTTTGTGGGAAGCACAGCGGCTACGTCTTTTGCACTGATCTGGGACGTGTGTACCACCTGCGAGACGAGTCGCTTGCATTTGCATGGTGTTGACCAGTGGGAAATCCAGAATAACGCGTTCAAGGCAAGTGAGTCTGCAATTGGATGTCTTGACATGGCTGTAAGGTCTATCATCTTGGCGGAGCATGTCTGGGTGTCCCCGGTGCATGACCCTGACGCGATGCAGCGTATTGCCACTTTCAACTTCACGAACCCCGGCAACTCAGCCCATGGAGTTCCGGTTGCAGGCAACCAGCGCTTTTGCTTGCTGGGGCTGCTGATGCGCTTCGAATACTTTCGAAAGCTGTTCGAAGCGTGGTCAGAAGGGGCATCTGCAAAGGTTGACATGCTGGATACCGACGTGGCCACCTTCGACCACTTCATGCAGTATGCACAGTGTGGCAGGATTCAAGATGACCTCGATCTTGCAATGTTGACCTGCTTGCTGCGCTTCGCAAACAAGTATTTGCTGCCAGACTTGGCTGCACGTTGCTTGTCTCCAATTCTCTGCACCTTGGCCGAATGCAGGCCATGCATACTCACGAGAAATTTGGAACCCTAGCCCGGCTCACTTTGAACCCGAATCCATTTTCTGGAAGTGGCAGGCATTCTCGAAGATGTGTACGACATGAAGACGCAGAGTAGCACCACGGTAGCGGAACTCCTTCTTCTTGCCGATGAAGCCGCTGTAGCATGTCCAACCCTCAAGGCCAAGGCCAGGGACACGTAAATTTTTGAGATCTACGATTAAAACCTCGGCCGTGATTGCTGCGGCTCTCGATGCGGTGCCCAGAAACCTACGCCCTGAGTTTAGCCGAGTAGGCCGAAGTACATATAATATAGCAGGCTTGTCGGTCATATCTCTACATATGTAGGTGAATGTCGGTCACTTCGCTGTATGCGCAGGTGATGCATTCCATTCTCTCCTTCCGGGGTGACCTGTTGACGGACGCCTCCTTCTTGGCTACGGTCGCATCGAGAAGTTCGGCCATGCTCGCTCAGTTGTTGGCTCCCGTGGCTCCAAACCATGCGTTGTCCCCACCGGAGACTCTTGCAAGCAAGCGTGCAGTCAGTTTGAACTCGAAGTATTTCCCTGTCGGGTCTGGACACCTGATGCAAGCATTCTTTCAAGGAGCTTCGAGAAATCCTCCAAGACTAAGATTAGGTATAACTTTCATTTGAAAGGCTTCTTTGGTGCCGGACTCATTGCATACAACCCATACGTGAGTCTGCGTAGTTTTGCCAAACGTGAGTTCGCAAGGCCGAAGCCCAAGCTTCCAAGTTCAAACCTTCCAGACTGAGAGTTTCCTGAATGAAACTCCCTGAGCCCTAGTGAAGCATGCTACATCATCCCCAGTTTCCACGAGCACATGAAAGGTAGATACTGGGTTCCTTGTGCTTCAACTGGCTCCCTTTGCAAATGTAGGGGTCGGAGTGACAAGTAGTAATATCCGCTTGAAATGCCGAATATGTTCACTCTTCTGAATGTGTCTCAAGACCCTATTCCAGTCATTAGGGATGCATCATGCAAGTATTGTCTGCACACACGTGAGGAAGCGTAGAAGAAAGGCAGAGAAGGTGCAACGCGCCTCCTGGCTTTTTCAGCCAGCAGCAACGTGTTGTTTTTAGTCAGGGTTTAGAGCAGTTTAAGGCTTGTGGTTCAACAAGGGTTCGCGCTTTATATCGTCGCTTTACTTTTATCAGGCCGACACTTTAAGGGGGAACTGGCCTTCTGCATGAAGCATGATCGCAGGCGGCCGGAAATTGCAGTTTTGATCAGCATAGACAACTCTGTCCCAAAAACTCCGAAACCCTAGACCCTCGCTAGCATCTACTGTCCTTGATCTAGCCGCACAACTGCCGAGTCTTTTTCTGTTCTGGGCGGTACACAAATTTGCCATGGGATCTCGGAGTCTGTTCGGATCCCCAGGGTCAGCAGTGGCTGTTGCTTAAGTAACTGTTCGGTTTGACTGAGGATATGATGAGAGCTTGCAGGGGTCGCATCGGCTGTGAGATTCTGCGGTTTGTCCTCCTGTTTTGGGCACTGAAAATTAGCCCATTTGGTGTGGAATACCATCTCTCTATCACAAAATTAGCAGCAAACCGCCGTATATCCATCCAACTATCTATCTACTTACCTATCGGTATATCTCTACACATACTCTGGTCAAACGAGCCAAGGATCTGTCTGCTCTTCTCCCCACTTGCCCCAGCTGGGGCGCTGCGTCTCTGACAGCTGAGGGCTTGGCCAGCAGTTGAGCACCGTTGGTCAAAATAGCTCGTTCATTCGCATGTAGGGGTGGAGGAACTTCCAGAACAGGTGTGATTTGTTGGCCTCTGGCGACGATCCCCTAATTTTCGGAAACTCTAAACCCGAAACCCTATAGATCCCTTATGGGAACCCTTAAAGGAACCCTTATAGACCCCCTGCTTCGACATCTTTGTTTGATTGTCCAAGCTCCGAGACCGAATTGCTTGGTTGCCACTGCTCCGGGTTTGGCACACATGATGCCAGAGTTGACATTCGCTTTTTCACCGCACAGACGAAAAGGCGCGGTCCAGGAGTAAGCAATATTCAAGGAGACAGGGGCATGGGCCGGCTTAGGCTGTTGTTGCTGCTTCGATTCGAGCAAAATGAAAGCTGAACCCCAGCCCATCTGCATCCCTAACCCATTAGATTTAGGTGTTGGAGACACAGCGGCACTTTACAACTTAGTCTGGCAGGAAACATTGATGACTTGACCAGTCTGTGCTGCACTCTACAGCATTGCCGGTCGCACATTTGGACTTTTGGTTTGTAGCTGTGAAAATGATCAAACGGATGGTATGGGAATGTCGGGGTCCCGGCACCCCGAATCCCACGCTGTCTGAGGGAAGTTCCCGTTGAGCCAAACCGGCCAAATCGTATAAAACACATATGTTCAACCGCGTCTCATAATTTGAAGCCGAAACCGTATGCGCCGCAGAATCTACAGAAGCTCAGTCGCTTGAGTCCCGCATCTTCTTCGTTTAGATTCTATCGTCCTGTGAGTTTCGGCTTTGAATTCTGTGAGTGAGAGATAAGCTGTCTAAGAGTCGGAAGGGATCCATGAAATCTTGGGCTCGAAGGCCTGCATCCCAGAGTCCAAGAACCCCTCCTCAACCCTAACCCCCAGTTTCAGACGTCTGAACTTTGAAAACACCACTCTTGAAGAGTGAAGACAACTGGTCCACAGGTCAGTAGGTACCTACCTGTGAGTCGCGGTTGTGAATTTGCTTCGATATAAAAAATGCCGTAGTCAACATTTGCTCCGAACTTACCCTGCAATGCGGGCTTCGTCCTTGCTAAGTAGGAGAGAAAATTCCCGAAGATCAACATCCCGCAGGATCAGAACGTGGCGGTGTTCGCGCTGACCGGGCGTGCTGATTGGTGTGCGCCACACCGACACAGACACCGGCTGCATTCCGAAGACCGACCGATAAGGCTTATCGTGTTGTTAACCGAAATTTGTAACGTCGTGCTTTCCGCGATGCCGGTCTATGCTCTAGTTTGTACGGTTGCTGCTGTGTAATGTTCACCGGAATCTTTTGACTGTATGGTGTATGGTCTACAAAGGACAGGTCAAGCTCCCTTGCCGCCATTGTCTACTGTACTTCTGCCCATGTACGCAGGTCTATAACTCTACATCTGCACCAGCCTACACCCTAAACAACTTGGCTCCGAGGTAAAGCCCGAATGAGCCTAGAAGCCCTGGGTTGAAACCCAACACCCACAATTAGCCCCCAAGCCCTCTGGCAACCTGTGAGACAAGAAACCCAAACAGTAGTTTAGAGTCTAGGGTCTAGGGAAACAAAAGCAACCTATGCAAGCCCCGAATCGCAATCTTGGGCTCCTGGGCATCTGCTTCCCTGCAGGTCTTGGCCATGGCAAAAGAAGATGCCGAGTCTTTGGCTAAACATGTCGAACCCTGATTATTCATTAGGGTTCCTCACTGTGCATATACACTAATGTGCCCGAAAACCCTATTCTTGTTATTAGGGCCCCCATATTGCCAAATTGCGGCGGTCGGAGTGACTGGGTTTAGGGTTTAGGGTTTATCCTCAGTCCGTGCTGAAAAAGGGTTTATCGTCAACTTGTAGGATCATCACCTCGCCTGTTGGTCAGCTTTCACTACATACTCGCATCATGCTACCACCCATTAGCAACTTGCATATTGCAGGTCGTACTTTGTCGAACATTGGAGCTTTAGGGTGCAAGGCTAGGGGTCCCTGGGGGTGAGAAGAATAAAACCTTGGGCTTGGGCCTTAAAGTGCCTTGTCGTAGGTCAGGTTGTAGGAAATCGCACGGCCCAACTGCCATCGAATGTGCACCCGGCCGGGTTTAGTTCCCTTTCCAGTGCCCTCAGGAGCGCGCTGCTGCTAATGCAGATGAAGTTGAGACTTGTCCTGGGTTTGGGGTTTCGTGTTCGGTCTAGATTGCCGGTCTTTGTGTGTCTGTCAATCGGGGTGTGAATGCACCCTCTGTTGTACATGTACAGGAAGCCATGACCATGACATGCATGTGTTAACTGTATATATATCCCGCTGCCGTTAGGGCCCTTGAGTCGTATCCAGATAGCTTCGCAGTCGGCGAAAAGATCCACCAGTTTCTCAAACTGGCAGCGGAGCCAGGTACCTCCGGGACCTGTATCTGCGTGGATCGCAGTAGCCTGTAGCCTGTGCTCAATACCTACCATTGCATACCTCCCTCTCAATTCTTTCCCTTCGAACTTTCGCCAAGCATGTCCGTGGCCGGTCTTCGGTACAGTCGCTCCACCTACTCGAGTACTCCCCTTGAGACTCGTAGCGGGAGCTACATATATGATGGCACCCCCAGTACGTTCCACGACTGGGAGTTTAGGACCTCTATGAGGCTTAAACTGTACGAAGATGCTGTCAGGAGCAAACCTAAGAAGACCGTGGAGCCAGAAGAAGAAGGCAGTGACGATGAGAGCCGCGTCGTGGAGCAGAGTCCGACCGCGGGAGCCACTGCCCCTGTACCTCCCGAGGACAGGCCCGACATGGATGCAGCCGAGGCAGCAGCAGCAGCCTCTGATGGTGGATCTCGCAAGAGACCATCTGCACCGAAGTCATCTGACTCGGTCTCAGAACTGCTGGTTGCCGACGAAATGTCATCCTATGCGGTTAAAGCAAGAACCGAAATGGTGCATAAAGTGCTGGAAGGACTTCGGGACGAAGCCTTCGAACTCGCCCGGGATATCGGTATCGAATCCCTGACTGCCCCTGGTGGCCTCCGGGATTTCATCACCAAGTTGAGGAATGTCGTCTTTCCCCGTGCCACCGAAGAAGCTCGAGAGCTCTTCCGTGCGGGCCAGAAGCAAGGTGTCCTCGCACGCCAAGGCGGCGAGTCGATGCTGTCGTACGTCAGCCGGCGACGACGCTGGTGGAAACTGCTTAAAACTCTCGACGCCAGCATCGAGCTTTCCGAGCCGATGCGCGTGGAATTGCTATTGGAGCTTTCCGGATTGACTCGGCAAGAGTGCCTTGTCATTAAGGCATGCACCACTAGCAACCGGAGCTTTGAAGCAGTCGCTGCTACCCTAGTGGAGCACTACAGCGGCGTTCACCTAAAGGAAGGTCGTTCCTTAGGTGGCGGTACCTTTCAGGACCGCCGATCGCAACACCATCCTGGTGCCCGCCGCGGGAACCCTAAGGGCTACGGTAAGAATAGGTCTAAGGGTTTTAACCGTCGCGCCTACGTCGCTGAAGACGAGACGCAATACTACGACGACGCGCCGCCGGACGATGGCGACGACGCCGAGGAGTACGACGACACCTCGTACCCCGCCTTTGGGGACGAGTCTGAGTACGATCCTCACTCCTACCCCGCCGGGGAGGAGGAAGAGGACCCGGGCTACGAGGAATTCGAGCTCGAAGAAGAAGAGGCAACTGCCCTTAATTGCCTCGAGGAGCTTGATCCCGAGGATGCAGACAGCGGCCATGTAATTCAATTGCAGCTTGCCGCGAACGCCGCATTCGGAAAAGCGAAGGGGCATAAGGGCAAGGGCCGCAAGGGAAAAGGGAAAGGTAAGGTAGTGCGATCACACCTTACGCTCGACGAACGTCGCGAGAAAATGAAAAACCTGAAGGCACGGTCGAAATGCCTCAGGTGTGGAGCTATTGGTCACTGGGCAGGTGACCCCGAGTGCAAGTTCCCTACCTCTAAGGGAGGGAAAGGGAAACCCCGGGCCCACATAGCAATTGTGGAGCCGCGACAGGACCCCGACGGGGGCCTGTACGTTCCCTCAGGGAACGATGTGGACCCTAGTGGCCACATGGTGCGGGATCTAAGCGAAGCTAGATCCAAGGCTGCCCCCTCACAACCATCTAGCTCAATGCAGATGGAGGGTGCCGACCGAAGATTTAATCTCGGTCAACACAAGGGCCAGACTTACGAGGAGGTATCCCGTAAGATTGAGTTCGTGCGCTGGGCCCTCGTCCAGCCGAGCCCTGCCGCGCACCTTAAGGATTTCCTCACCTGGTTTAATAGATATAATGTCATTCAGCAGGGTGTAGGAGGTCAATACTATCGCGAAACTCGTGCCTCGATAGGTATCCCTGAGGGAACCTATAACCCTCGCCCGAGGGGAAAGGGCGCGAAGAAGAAGACTCCACCGAATCCGCCCTTGGCGGAGAAGTGTAGCTCGTGCACGGAATTCTCCTACCAAGGAAGTTCCGCAAATTATGTCCGCAAGACCTGCAGGGATTGCGGCCATGTATCCCAGGAGAAACGGGAACATGTATATACGGTAGACCCCTCTGTATGCTCACACGAAGCAACAGACCATCGGGGTAGTTCGAGGACCACGTCCCGAACCTTCTGTAGAATGTGTGGCACTATCGTTGATGAAGTGCCGCAGGAGTTTCACCGAGAACGGAAAGCCGTCTCGGAACGCATCTTGGAAGCGACAGACCTTGCGCTTCCCTTGGTTCAAGCGGTTACCGCTGACGACGCGACCGCGGACCTCGACCCTGAGGCAGTTCTGCAAATCATGGGTTTGTACCAAGATCGCATCAACCAGGCCATTGCGTTGGAGGAACGGATTCACCCAACAGGGCTTCACTTGTGGCTTAAGGAAGCAATCACCATGGTAGTCGGGTCTAGTCCCATAAGTCCCTCCTGGGAGTTCGCTCCGACAGCAATGGTGGCCCGAGGGCGTAGCCCCGGGCGCAACAAAGGAAAGGGAAAGGCTAAGCAGCCTGTCCCAGCCGTTCCTGCT